CAAGTTCAGCCTTGGAGTTTCCAACAGAAGACTAGGGTAGCATGTGAGGAGGAGGCCCCTGCTGCTCTTTTGCTCATCTTCCTTGTACTCCAGAGAAAGAGAATGCTGTGGAGGAATAGGAGGACACTGTTTTAATCTTGAGAAGGGAGAAATCCATTATAAAATGACTGTTACACCACTGAGCTCTGTCCAGCCTCCCTGTCTAGGATCTGCTAGCTCTGGGATTGACCAGCACCTCCCTTTCTAAAATGGAGGCAAAGTCCTAGAGAGGCTCCTTGATAACAGGAGGGCACCGTGTTTCAATGGCTGCTTTGTCCTTCAGGTGCATACAGCTCTCCCTGGTTGAGACAGAAAACTAGCAGAAATAGGCACTAAGCTGTGCATATGTTAGAACTTGTTCATCGTGGAATAATTCTGATTGCATCACAGGGTCTCTTCTCTTGTTGTCACCCCCCCCACCCACTTCATTCCAAAGGTAGGGAGAATGGGGAAATAAAGACTGACTAGCCACCCAGCCTACTTCGCAGTTGTTGGGAGGGCTTTAAAAAGTGCAGCAGAGAAATCCAGCCATTCCTGGTGAGTGTTTAATAACAGGGAGAATGGACAGCTCTGTGTGTGGCAGGATGTTGCAAAATTCTTTTCTAAACTTTTCTGGCCCAAACCAGAAGCCTGTTCATGACCTTTGAAGCCAAGACAGCTTCACACTTGGGTGTTTTGAAGAGCAGCCCTATTCCCCACAGGCTTGGCTGCCTTTTTTGCTTCTTGTTAAACCCCAGTATCCTCCCCTCAGGACACCAACATGACTAATGACAAAGTCAGTCGTCCCTCCTGCCCCAAATGCCATCGCTCTGCCAAGCAGCCAATCCCCACAGCACTGCCCTTTGCCTAAGGATGTTTCCCTTTGTAGTGGGACTGTATCCCTATTATCCTTCTCATCTTTCCTTTCACCTCCTCCTATTGGCATCCTATGATTCTGTCACTTATTGCTTGCATGTACACTGGGGTCTTTATACACCAGAGACAAACTCCTCACGCGTCCAATCACGCTTGGCCAATAAAGAATATTCTGTTCTTTCCCTCGCAAGGACTTAAGCACTGGAATACCCTTCCGTGCTCACTTTGCAACAGCCCTGTCAGGGAGATAATGTGGAGATGACGATTGGGCCACCAAGCACCTAGCTAGCTTCATGTTTTGAGCTTGTCCTCCTGAGTCTTCTGACTGCTGCATCTCACTGGACTGAAGAAGGCTCTGTGTCTCTCCTCCCAGCCCCCAGCCCCCAATGCCAGCTGAGCTTTTTTCAGGGGAGAACTTTGCCACCATGAAACTCTGGAGCTAGAAAGGCCTGTCTCTCCTCCTCCTCCTCCTCTCTTATGCCTTTGACTTCTCAGCCCCGATTTCAGTCTTAGTTGACTTTCCACAGGTAAGTCAAGCCTATAAGCCTACCCTGTAGATTGTCGTAATGCAACAAAACAGAATGTCCTTTTCTGCAGAAGCTACTTGGAAGGCAGCCTTCTTGCTAGTGGTGCCCTCCTGGGAGCAGAAGAGCTGAACCGGTATTTTCCTGATCGCAACATTGGCATCTTTGTAGCCACCTGGAACATGCAGGGCCAGAAGGTGAGGAAGTGAGGGGGTCCCTGTCCTTCTCTGATCCTAGGGAAGTCCAGAAGGAAAAATCAAGACTGGGCTCAGCTTGGCCTACAGAATGGACAGGTTGGGCCGCTCACATGGACTTTTCTCCCTGGAAACACGTGGCTGCACACCTGCCCTTTTACCCTCGGCAGATCTTTCTGGACAGCGCTTCCGATTTTGCGTGTAAAGTTCATCTTTTCATGCAGACCACTTGGAAGCATGTTCAGTGAGGGTGTATGTGCAACCTGTCGGGACAAACCAGCATTTTAGGACCCATAAATCCATTTGCAGCTCCTCCATTCCCAGGCATGGAGGGTTTTTTTTAAAATAGCCATTTCAGCTTTTCTTTCACAAATACTTTTTTCTGGGAAATGTAATAAAGCAGTGGAAAGAAGCAGATGGGCCAGTCCAGCTTTCTAAACGAGTGAGAAAACTAAAGAAAACGGGAGTGTCTCCTTGTGTGATTCTCTTCTTTTTGCCACATTATAAATGGGACTTGAAGTTGTCCTTGTTAGAAAGCTGGTGTACCTGAAACAAGTATTTGTTGTGCGTTATTTCACAAGTAGTGCATGGGATAGCAAGAGGAGCAGAGTCGCCTTAATCCTCCAAATAATGTGGATTAAGTCATTTTCTGAACAGATCAACAGTTTGTCCATTTTCTGCATTCCAACCCAGGTGAACAGAAAAAGTGTTTGCATCCTGCAGGCAGAAAAACGGATTTGATAACCTGCCTCATTTCTTGCTCTTCGGTTGTCAGTAGAGCCCGCCCCACCTGCCTGGAGGGCTCCTCTACAGTTGGAAAGGTCCCTTTTTTTTCTTGCAGGAGCTCCCTGAGGTGCTGGATGACTTCCTGTTTCCGTCTGAGCCTGATTATGCCCAGGACATGTACGTGATAGGGATCCAAGAAGGATGTCCAGATAGGTATGGAAGCAAGCAACTTTGTAGCTGAGGGAGCCTCCTTCCTTCCTTCCTTTCTCCTTTCCTTCCTTCCTGCATCCATCCATCCATCCTTCCTTCCTGTATCCATCTTTCCTTCCTCCTATCCTTCCTTCCTGTATCCATCCTTCCTTCCTGTATCCTTCTTCCCTCCTTCTCTTCTTTCCTGTATCCATCTTTCCTTCCTTCCTTTCTTTCTGTATCCTTCCTCTTTTCCTTCCTTCCTATATCCTCCCTTCCTCCCTCCCTCCCTCCCTCCCTCCCTCCCTCCCGAGAATCACCACACTACAAGTAGGATCATTACTCTGCACGGGTTAAGGCTGTTGCAAGTCCTCTCCCCTTTTGCAACAAGGCAGAACTTTCTGTTAAAGCCGGGCGAGGGGTCTCAGAGGTGAAGGCCTCCTCTGGGAGACGGCTGCCGGGGGGCCGTCGGCAATCTTCGTCTCCTTTCCTCCCCATTTGTCTACAAGCGTCAGTGGGCGTGACCAGAGGCCAGCGCCTGGGAGAAGAGCGAAGGTGGGCCCTTCCCTGCAAGGAGCCGGGAGCCAAACCGAGGGTCCCAAGCCCATGGAACGAGGGTGGAGGACGGGTGCCTCCGGGAGATCCTGGGCCTTCTTAATCAGCCTGACTGGCCACCAAAGTCCTTTCTGAGCTTGGATGGGGCCGGCTGACCGCCCAGCTGCTCTGGTACTGAGGGGCCAATTGGCTTTGCTTCCTTTCCGCAGGCGAGAGTGGGAGATCCGCCTGCAGGCAACGCTGGGCCCTCAGTACGTCATGTCTTACGCAGCTGCTCACGGGGTCCTTTACCTGTCCTTCTTCTTGCGAAGGGACCTCATCTGGTTTTGCTCAGGTAGGCGTGGCCCTTTCAGCCACTTCGACCATGGGGCTGTTGCGGATTCCCCCGGACAGCCTCTTTTTTTTTTTTTTTTCTAATTTGGCGGGGAGGAAGCCTGTCGTGGAACTGAAGCCCGTCGTTGAATTGCAGCCTTTTTCACCCCAGGGGAAAAGGAGAAGAGCTGCCTTTTCGTTCTGTCCCTGTCTGGTCTGAGCACTCGATGACAGGCCGTGCCGCTTCTCTCTTCCCACAGAGGTGGAATGTGCCACAGTGACGACGCGCATCGTGTCTCAGTTCAAAACCAAAGGTGCGCTGGGAATTTGCTTCACGTTCTTCGGCACGTCCTTCCTTTTCATCACTTCCCACTTTACCTGTGAGTATCTCCCCAAGTTCCCCTTGGGCCTGCCTTGGAGTCAGAATAGGGTCTTCCCCCCCCCCCCCCCCCCCCCAAAAAAAAGCTCTGTAAACTGGTACGCCAGTTGAACTACCTGCTTTATGCTCTTGGATGCGAGTAAGGCAGAGATGTAGAGTTATTGCAGAAATTTGGGAAGTTGTGTTGTCAAAGAAACGGGCAGCACCAGACATTCCCCCCTTCCTTGATGGTCCCAAGGCTTAAATCGGGGCGTCCTCTCCTGCCTTGGTGGAGCCCAAAATCATCTCCTGACCTGCAAAGGTTCTCGGGGAATTCTCCAGCGTGATAGTCGGAGATTTCTACCCCTGGTGAGATTGAATGAATCCCCACAAGTTTCCCTTCTCAAATGAAGGAACACTTTTTGGATGATGCATTTATAAACGGCTTCTCCCTCTCTTCCAAGACAGTGCATACAGAATAAAAGACATACCCAAAAAGTTGATGCAGGGGACATTTTGTCTTTTTGTAATTGAAAAAGAGACCCAGTTGGGTGTTGTGGCTAAGGCACCAGTATATAAACCTGGGAGAGGGTGAGTTCTATAGTCCTGCCTTGGCACAAAACCAGCTGGCTGACAGTGAGGTCTAGGAAGGAGGGAATGCCTTTCTTGGGGGGTGAGGAGGGAAGAGTCCCTTGCCAAAAACTGCCAGGACTTGTCCAGATAATCTCTAAGAATTGGACACAAGTGAACAGAAGCGGGAGAAAAACGAAACTCACATTGATGAGGTGGTTTCCTTTGAGAGTTAAGATTTTACCCTTCTGGCAAAGGTGAGCGGGCAGAGGAAACCTGCCAGCCTGTGTTCACTCTTCGGCCTGAAGCCCATGGGGCATCCAAGCACCCTTAGAATTCCAGCTCCCTTCCTTCCCTTCCCCTCATTCTCCAGCCAAGATCTTTCCCACCAGAAAGTGGGGAAAATGTGGATCTTGGCCTGACAGCTGGGCTACCCCTTGACCCTTACCCAGAGTCCGTGGTCCTCGTTGTTCTCCCTGATCTTCAGAATTTTGGCCTTACGTTGTGAATGTTGGAGATTGTTCTGAAACGGGGGTCTTCCAACTTGGCCGCTTTAAGACTTGTGGACTTCAACTCCCAGAATTCCTCCTCCAGTCGTGTTAGCTCAGGAATTCTGGGAGTTAAAGTCCACAAGTCTTAAAGCGGCTAAGTTGGAAGACCCTTGTTCTAAAAGAATCTTGCCTACTTTTTAGGACTCCGGTCCAGATTCTTTCCTTGGTCTGGCTGTTAGCAACGCAGCTCGCAGCTTGTTCCATTTGCAGAGCTTTGCTCCTTCTGGGGATCGAAGTCAGTACTGGGAGAGAAATCTTCCAGGGGAAGCTGCTGGGTTGGGGTCTTTTTCTCTCCCCCCGGCACCTGCCCTAAGCAGCCTCCTTTTCTTTCAGCTGGAGATGGCAAAGTCAGCGAGAGGGTCCTGGATTACCACAAGACCATCCAGGCTCTTTCACTGCCCAGAAATATTCCAGATACCAACCCCTATCGATCTAGCTCCTGTGAGTAATTTGGCACTTGAAAAATGCTGCTTTCACTCTGTTTGTCGTCTGCGGGTGTAACTTTCTCTGTCAAATAAACACCGCCATCATCCTGGCCCCCTGAAAGGGAGTTTGTGTTCTGGAAAGTCCCTCATTTGGCCCCAGCACAAAATGTGGGTCCCAGCGATAAAATCGGATTTTAGAGGGAACAGCCAGCGTTTCCCTATTTGGGCAATTTTGAGATGGATGGGCTTTAGTGATTTTCACCCATTCAATCACTCTGCTAAACAAAACTAATTCCCACAACACTGTCACACTATTTACTAAGTGTTACTATTATTATTCTCATCCTTCCTGTTTCCTATCTCCTTTTCTACTTATGACTATAACTTTGTTGCATGTATCTTTACAATTTATATTGTTTTATTTAGTTTCCCGGTATGATTTATGTTGATTGCTTCTTTAGTATCCTATGACTATCACTAAGTGTTGTATCTTATGGTTTATAATGAATGTATTTTTATGACGACTGTGATCATAGTTTATCACGTACATCTTTTATGGATACTGAGAGCTTACGCTCCGAAGACAAATTCCTTGTGTGTCCAATCACACTTGGCCAATAAAGCATATTCTATATTAACCCCAGAATCCCCCAACCAGCAAGGCCATTGCTAAGAATTCTGGGAACTGAGATCCAGGCCTTTCAGAGTTGCTGAGATTAGCAAATGGTGGCAGATTATAGTCCCTATGTTTCAAAAAATGTCACACAGAAATTCAGAATTTAGATAGACCTTGACTTGCAGCCATTTGTTTAATGACTGTTTGAAATTTCAGCAGCATGAAAGAGGTCACATGATCAAAATTCAGACGCTTGGCAACTGTCACGTATTTATGACGGGTTGCAATGTCCCCCATGATCCCCTCTCGTGCCCTTCTGACAAGCAAGATCCGGGAAGCCAGATTCACACAATAACCATATTGCTAACTTAACAGCTGCACTGATTCAGGTAACAACTGCAGCAAAAATGGTCATAAAATGGAGCAAAAGTCAAAAACTGGTTTAGCAATGGAAAGATTGGGCTCAAATGTGGTCCTAAGTCGAGGACACTCTGTCCAGAAATTCAGAGTTCAGACCTGAAGTGGTTTCAGTTTCAGTCACTTTGTTTGCAAGCTTTGAATGGACTGAATTTCACCCTCAAGCCCCCGTGGTCAACCTCGGGTGCAATGGGCTCCTCTTAACTGCTGCAGCCTCTTTGGAATAGGAGCTGGAAGGGGCCTTGGAGGTCTTCTAGTCCAGCCCCCTGCTCGAGCAGGAAAACCCATAGTATTTCAGACAGGTGCCTGTCCAGTCTCCTTTTAAAAACACGTCCAATGATGGAGTGCCCACACTTTCTGGTGGCAAGCAGTTCCCCTGGTTAATTGTCCTCACTTGTCAGGAAGTTTCTCCTTAATTCCAGGTTGCTTCTCTTGGATGAGTTTCCTCTCTCCACTCTTTTCCCCCTTCCTTTGCTTGGTTCTGCAGCCGACGTCACGAGCCGCTTCGACCACGTCTTCTGGTTCGGAGACTTCAACTTCCGCCTGAATGAGAACCGGGAGGTAGTAGAGGAGATCCTCAACCATGGCCGGGACCTGGACGTCTCGTTGCTGCTGCAGCATGACCAGCTGTTGAAGGAAATGCAGAGCGGTGAGGAGCCCCTTCCCATTTTCCATGTCTGTCAAGAGTTGGTTTAATGTCAGGGTTCCAAGTAATAAAAACCCGTTGCAAGAGAGACCCCGAGGCAATGGAACTGAATATGTTGGAAATATATTGGCACATACCTGGTGAAAACCGACTCTGAAAACTCCTGCGGTTTTCACCTTATTAAAAGTAAGAGATGTTCTGCTTTCTCAAAGCAATCAGTCCGACAGCCCGGTGGCATCCCCTCCGCCACCTTCTGACCAGGTGGGAGAATGTCCTTGGTTCCCAAGAGAAAGTTTGGGCTACAAACCCCCCCTCTTGTCTCAATTTCCCCCCTCCCTGACCCTCGGCTCCAGTGTGGCAGCTCTGAAGCGGACAAAACGGCTTCGGTCAGGCCAGCTTCAGGGTTGGCCATGTGTTTTTGCAGGAGCCACCTCTCTCTCTCTCTCACACACACACACACACACCGCCCCCAAATGTCTTGATCCGTGCAATAACCGCTACAGAACCCAAAGTTGGGTGCCAGTTGTGCCCCTTCCTGCAGTCTCAGCACCACAGCTCCTGCCTCCTCAGTGACCCTTGTGTTGGACCTCTCAAGACACCCCCCTCCCTCCCTCTCAGGAAGGCAGTGGCCCTTTTGATGCCCTTCACGGCTCCTGCTTGCTTGCTGAGTGCAGTTTAGAGGGTTGGTTTGGACCTCCGGAGCCCCGATGACCCTCAGAACTGTCTTCTCCAAACAGGATTAACCCGCCCCCCTCAGCTGTCCTGGAAGAGGCCCTGGGTAGAATCTCTCTTCCCCGAAGGGCGATGAGGTCCAGAGCAGGTTCTTTCAGTAGGAGGACCTGTTGGGGGGGTCAAGCTTGCTCCCTCTCTTTTTGGGGGGGAAGATGCTAAAGAAAGAGCCCTTCCAAGGAACCTTGGTCAGGTGATGAGGGTCCCTTAGGTTTCTTTAAGGGATTACTATTTATTTACGGAGGGATGGGTAGATAACCGTGTTTGCCTATTGGAAAAACTTTTAATATCGTACCTTGTCATTAACCCCTGTGCATCCTAGTTGATTACAGCCAAATAGAAGCACGGGGCCGGAAGGGCCCTTGGAGATCTTCTAGTCCAACCCACTGCCCATCGCAGAAGATTTTATGACCATCCTGGACAAAAGGTTGTCCAAACATTTCTTGACAACCTCCAGTGGGGGATGGAGCACCGATCAATCCTGGAAGTAAGCCATTGTTCTTCTCATGGTCAGGAAGTTTCCCCTGAGTTCCAGATTGGCTTTCTCTTTTAGGAGCGTCCTTACTCTGCCCTCCGGAGCTTCGGAGAAGAAGGCGACCCCCCGCTTCTCTCTGCGGCAGGCGCTCCTGTGCCAGAAGGCAGGTATCCTGTTACCCCTCATTCTTCTCTTCGTTAGGCCAGGTGCACCCATTTCCCCGAACTGTTCCTGGTAGCATCTTCGTGCTCTTCTCCGCACTCTTTCCCAAGTCTTAGCATCTTTTTTTAAAAAAACCATGTGATTACCAGAATGGGGTGCAGTATGCCAAGTGTGGCCCCACGAATACTAAGCAGTACTGTCACTTCAGGTGACTTTGATGCTTCTCCCGCTAATGGTGCAGTCCAGGACTGTCTTGGCTTTTTTGGCAGCTGCTGCACAGTGCTGCCTCGGTGGTCCGCCTAGATGCTTTGCACAGTTGGTACTGTTGGCCCAGGCCACACCAATGCTGCTGATTTTTCCCCTCCAGTACTTAACACTGAACTACATCTTGTTAACTAGGGTGCTCAAACCTGTCAAAATCCTTCTGAATCTTGAGTCTATCTCTCCGTGTTAGCCTTCCCCTTATTTTGGTATCTGCAAATTTGTTGAGCTCTCCTTCTATCCCCCGCATCTAGATCTTTATGAGGAGATTGTAGAGCGAGCGCAGAGGAGAGCAGCAAAGGTGATTTAGGGGACTGGAGGTGAAACCGTACGGCGAACAGTGGCAGGAACGTGCAGTGCCTTAACATCTAACCAAGAGGAGGGGTGGCAGGAGAGCAGCCTTTCGATACTTGAGAGGCCGTCACAAGGAAGACGACGACGGGGCCAACTTCTCCAAAACACCTGAGGGCAAGACCAGAAGTAATAGGTGGAAGTCAGAGCCGAAGAAGCTTCTTGGATGAGAAGTGAAACTTCTTCAAAGAAAAACCAGACGGTCCAGTTGCCTCTTGAAAATAAAGCACCTTTGGGACAACAGATGGAAGCACAACAAAGAGAGATCCAATCTAGCGTTAAGGAGGATTTCCTGAAAGTGAGAACAATGCATCAGTGGGACAGCTTCCCCCCCCCCCCCCCCCTCAGAGGTTGGAGGTGCTCCCTCACTGGATATTTCAAGAAGAGCCTTGACAGCCCTTTGTCTGAGGTGGTGTAGGTTCTGCTTGAGCAGAGGGTTGGACTAGAAGACCTCCGAGGTGCCTTCTAACTCCGTTATTCTGTGTCCCGCACGTTCTACCCCACGGATCTTTTGCTAGCTGAAAGGCAGCCGCTTGTATCCAGGGAGTCCCCATCTTACAAGCGGGAAGGTGGCAGTCTCAGGCGTGGGACCTCGCTTCATTCCCACCGGGGTTTGCTTAAATACCTCCGTGAAAGCCATCAACTTGGGTATAGTCATACAATGCCTCACATCACGACTGCACCATTTAACGACAAATGATTCTGGTCCCTGTTGTCATATGCCGAGAAGTCCTTGCATCTCTCAGGCAGAGAAAGGGGCTTAGCCTCTAGCCCCCTCGCCTCTTGCTCGTTCCCAGGCGTTGCGGGGGGGCTATTGAGCCACATGCAGTTGATTACGCCCACAATTGATTTAGCCACAGCCTGACCAGGTGAGACCGGAGACCTGTCAGGAGTCCAGTGGGGGGGAGCGGCCTTCCAAACCCGCCCCACCTTGGCTCCCTCTTGGTCTGCCTGGGAGGCTTGGACCTGGGTCCTGGTTGCCAAAGCCTTTCGCACGAGACTCTGGTTCTCACTTCCTCCATGTGGCAGCTCAGGGCAGGGCGGCTCTGCATCCCGGGGCGTCCTTAAGGCTGGGATTTGGGGTTCAGCCCTTTGACTTGCCCTTTGATCTGCTCTTGGCACAGGTTCTATATTTAAGGGGTTCCAAGAGGCCCCCATCTTCTTCCGTCCTTCCTACAAGTTTGACGTTGGACAGGACACCTACGACACGACCTCCAAGCAGAGGACGCCTTCGTATACGGTAGGGGTTTGGGGGAGGGGCAGCAAAAAAAACAGGCCTTCCTCTCCCACCCCCACCCCCCCGGAAACCCCTCCGGCAGAAAAGGGCACCCCGGAGCCCATCGCTCTGTCCCCAGTTCCCACAGGCAGCCCAGACTTTCTTTCGCCTGCCCTACTCCATTAAACATACCTTGCTCCCCCCAAGCCTCAGCCCCTCTCAGACTCCAGAAGATGGTGTGATGGGCAAGAAGGCTCCAGCCATGCCCCCCCCTCCCCCCCTCCGTTTTGAGGGACGAGAGCGTCCTGCCTCCGAAGGCTGGGTGCATCCGAGGGAGAGGGTGGAAGGCCCCCACCCATCCACCCTGCCTCCCCTCAGCTGCTCCATATACAGCCCCCTTGGTCCAGAAAGGGGGCCTGCCCTGGCCTAGAGGCTCTGGCCATAGAAGCCTGCCTGGCCCCCCAAAAAAGGCTCAGGTGAATGACACAAAGGATGAGTGACTTGGCTCACCTTTCCCTTAGGCAAGAGCTGAGGTGGCCCAATGGTTAAAGGCCTTGGGTGAGAGAAACTCGTTTCCTTCCTTCCTTCCTTCCTTCCTTCCTTCCTTCCTTCCTTCCTTCCTTCCTCCCTCCCTCCCTCCCTCCCTCCCTCCCTCCCTCCCTCCCTCTAAAGGGACCCTAGTATTGCGTCAGAAGAACACGGACACATTCACGAAGCCACGTGAAGCGTTTGTTCCCTTATGGCGCCTCTTCGGACCTCGGAATTGCTCCCTTAAGCGTCCCAAGGAAGCTTCCTGGAAAGGGCCCCCCATCCCACCCCCCCTCCTCCTCCTCCTCCTCGCCCGCCTCAATTGACACGCAGCGGGAAGGAACAGGGCGAATTAAGCTCACCTCACTTAAAAGCCCCAGAGGGAGACCTCAAATCTCTTTGCCCAAAGTCACGTCCACGGCAGCTCCAGGTTCTGCAGCGCCCAGGACCGGGTCCCCCTGCCCCCTATAAGGCTCTCCACCGCCCCACCTTCCGGAAGGCCTCTGCGCCGGACGTCTCCGGCCGGTCTGTTTGCCCAGGAGCCGTTAGGGTCATCTTCCATCTCTGCTCATCTTCCGTCTCTTCTCCAGGACCGGGTCATCCATCGAAGCCGCCACCAGAATGAGATCCAGGCTGTGAAGTACTCGGCCTGCTTTGGGATCAGAACCTCCGATCACCGCCCCGTGTATGGGCTGTTCCGTGTCAAAGTCAGGCCCGGAAGGGACAAGTGAGTACGGCCGGTCCTTGAGAGGGGGCAGCGGGGGCTGCCTGTTGAAGGAAGGCTTCCTCCCCCACCCGACATTTCCTGCACTGCAACGCCTTGAGAGGCTGGGCGATGAAGCCAGCTGGCAGCCTTTCTCCATCGGGGCCCCCCGATCAGGAGCGGAGGAGGATTTGAGGCTCTGGCTCTGTGTTCGAATGAAACTGTCAGAATGAGACCGCCCTACCGCCCCCCCCCCCCCCCCCCCCGGCCAGAAGGCAGAGGGGTATCCGGGACAGACAGGGATATAAAACCCACCATTTTGTGCAACTGGGTGGGTCTGCTGACCTCGAATACAGTCTCTGTGTTTGTAGCTACCCCAAATCTCATGGAATAGCCAAACCTAGGAAGGTCTCATACGGTCTTGGGACCATTTTTTTCTTTTTAGAAAGGCCCGTTTTTATGTTGGCATCCGGGCCGTTGCACATACTGGCCCATATTGAGTGGAAAGGTTACTGACCCAATTAAGGGGGTGGGAAAACTTGGTCCCTTTAATCAAATTACTGCTAGTGTTTCCGGGCTGTGCAAAGATGAACTGAGGAATCGGGAGGCCCGACTCTTGGAATGGGGCCCAGATCGCCGAAGGATGTAGCGGGTGTGCTAAAGTTTCACCGCCGGTTTGTGCTTTGTCCCCTTCACCTACAGCATCCCGCTGGCGGCAGGCCTGTTCGATCGAGAGCTTTATTTGATTGGCATCAAGAGACGGATCACGAGGCAACTTCAGAAAAAACAAGCTCTGAAAAACCAAAAATCCAGCGCGGTCTGTTCCGTTTCCTGACCAAACGCACCCCGGACTTCTGAGGCAAGTGAAAAGGGGCTTGTGGACCAGGCCTCCTTCGGCTCCCTCTCCGAAGCCAGGCTGGGGGTAAGGAGGCTTCAGCGGGGCCCCCAAAGCGAAGGGCTCCTTGGAGGCTGGACGCAGCTGGGCAGCCGAGGGGTTGGCTCAAGAGTCCTCCAGCGTGTACCGCTTCTTCCTTCTCGACAACAAGCCGGTCTCTTCCCGTATCCTGTTGCTTGAGGAGGGCCCTGGAGTAACCCTGCAGGGCGTTGGCGTTTTCTGGGTTACACCAGCCGTAAACCTTTCTTAGGTTCGGAAGGCACTTCTGAGGGAACAGAGGACCACATTCTCCAAGCCTTGTTTTGTTCAGCTGCAGCTTGGAAGTGAGTGACGCACTAATTTGGTCCCACAAACCGCAACGTTTTTCCTAAGAATTCCAGAAAGGCCCTTGAGGTGCCAGAGGGGAAAGGGAAGACAGCAACCCCATGGGAGTTTATAGGGTGGGGTTTTTTTTTTACCTTCAATCAAGACAAACCAGCTTTCACCAGCTACATTTTTTAAAATCCGTTAACTAAGAGAAACTGGAAACCAGTTTCAATCAACATAGAGCCTTGAGCGGCTGTAAAAATCTGTATTTTCAACAACAAAGGCCATTTTTTAACCGATGCCAATGGTTGATGAGTTGCTAGGAATATTTTCCCCTCCTCAGGTTTAGTCAACCATCATTTTCCTGGATTGTGTTTGGGTTCAGAATTCCTTGAAATAAAAGGATGATCCAGAACTAAAAATGCGTCCCTAGTGTGTCGCCTGCTTCTTTAATCTCTGCGCTGTTGATATACCTGTATTGCTACCTGGAGCTAATTTAAATCCTCATCAACGGGAAGTCCAGTATTTTCAACATGTAATACAAGATTCAGAACGTAAGAGAGTTGCTTGTTGTGCTGGACTGTGGCAGGGGGCTGTGTCCCACCGCATTCTTCCAGCCTGCAACGTGGCAACTCCGTAAAGGAAATCTGGGGGTTCCCTAGCAAATTCCAAGTCTCGTAAATGCACCCAAGATTCCACCCCAGCATCTCCTTTGCTCCCCACGGGATGAGCCATCAGCCATCAGGACAAGGAGGCTGGCAAAGAATCCCACAAGGGAAGAGGAAGATAACGGGGTACTTATTGAGCTGAGGCTTCAGGCCCTTTTCAGTCCTCTCCTGCCTCTGCCATTAGAGCAGCATCCCTTCATCTCAACAGAAATCCCTTGTTGCATTGAAAAAGGATTTTGTCAGCCAACAGACTGCGAGAGGAGAGTCTCTCCCTGCAGAACAGGGTTTCCCTGGGCTTTTTGGGGGGGGCGGGGAATGAGACACATTAACTGGACCAGGGGTGTCAAACTCAAGGCCCAGATCTGGCCCAGGGGACCACCCTGGAAAGAACCAGCCCACAGCACCTCTTGCCAGCTGCATGCAGCCCTCCTGAGCTCCATTTTCGCTGGCAGAGGGTTGCAGGCGGCCATTGCAGCTGAACCCAGAGCTCTGCCGTCCGTTTTTGCTGGCTGAGCTCTCGGGGCCCCCACAGGCAACCCCAACACGAGTGACATCGAGCTGGCCACGCACCCCCCCGACACCCCCCCTCCCGCGAAACCCTGATGCGGCCCTCAATGAAATCGAGCTTGACACCCCCTGAACTGGACCAATAATGTCATGTGTGGTTCTAGAGCATTCTAAGTACTTCTCGACTTCAGATGGCTCAATTAACGATGGCCTCTGGAAAAAAGTCAGCTATATAACTTAAATTTGAACTATGACCTTCACTCTGCAGTCCCATCGCTGCAATTTGAGCATTTGGCAACTGGCTCTCACGTACAACCAGTTGCACCAGTTTCTGGCAAAAATAACGGTTAAGCTGGATTCACACTTACGAGTGCGGTGACTTGAGTTACTATCACCATAAAGATGGTTGTGAAGACAGATCTGGCCACATGAGGGTCTATGGCGATTTGCCACGGTCAACTCACCATGGCTACCTCACCACACAGCCAACTCGCCGCAAGACAATTGACTACAGAATCAAAGAAATGATGGGATAGAATCATTAAAGAAAGGATGCAGAAGGAGGTGCAGAATAAAATGTGAATGGCAAAACT